ATCTCTTTTTCCTTCTCTTTTAAACGTTTTATTGGTGTCTATTTCATATATCATACAATTCAATAGTTCAATCACTTCTCATTCCTTTTTTTAAAGTTTTCAAAAGCCCAGAAAGAGTTGAAATATGGAAAATTTACCAGCAACACCCAGTGTAGGCTGACCCCAGCCAAAAGAAATCTGTATGTTAACTAAGTTTACCAGGTGATTGCTAAATACACTGAAAAAAACTATTAGCACAGGGTTTCTCTACTTAACAAACTCTTGCGTTCTTTAAAAAAAAAAAATGCTTTCAGTCTCCAGCTTTGAAGAGGCAGGAAGTTATTTTTTGTTTCCTATCATAAACCACACCTTGAGACAAGCCTGACCTTCAGAGTGTTTGGGGAATAAATTGAGATTACTCACTCAATACCACAGAAGGCATGTCACTGGCTAACTGTAACTTCAGTCTTTTGGACAAAATCACCTTCTTTCTCAAAAGTGTCCTCCACCCAGCCAAAACACATACCATCAGTTTGGCAGGTTTGGATGAGAAGGTCGTGTTTCAGCAGCAGATTTCCCTGGGAGGGCTTCACAAGCTTCATCTGTACCTGTCTATACTTTGTTGTGATTACTTCTATACTGAAATAGGACAATCACTGCAGGAATATTGGATAAAATAAACCAGAGGTTATGACACATTTCAGAAAAGGACTCGACCCAGTGATGACTTACGTGGCCCCTAAACATGATTTATCTTTGAAATACAAATCAGAGAAGAGAGTCACTGTGTGATTTGGAGAGGAGGGGGAACTAATTGAATTCTCATCTCATTTCATTTACCAAAAGTAAGTTCTAGGAGGATTAATGAGCTAATTTGGCTAAAGAAAATAGATTTTAAAAACATTTGGAGATTGTTGTTGTTAAATGCAGTTGACTTGGTTCCAACTCATAGCAACAGACCAGAACACTGCCTTGTACCAACCTCCCAATTGTCAGGTTTGCGCACCTTGTGGCAGCCACTGTGTCAATCCACCTCCTTGAAGGTTTTCCTCACTGACTGTTTTACCAAGCATGGTGTCGTTTTTCAGACTGGTCTCTCCTGATAATATATCCAAAGAATGTTAGATGAAGTCTCCCAATCCTAGGGTCTAAGGAAGAGTCTAGCTGTACTGCTTCAAAAACAATTTGTTTGTTTTTCTGGCAGTTCATCACCTAAGTCATAATCCAAATGCATCGATTGTTCTTTGGTCTTCCTTCATTGTCCAACTTTTGCAGGTATAGGAGGGGATTGAAAATACCATGGCTTGGGGCAGGCACACCTGAGCCCTCAAAATGACATCTTTGCTCTTCAACACTTTAAAGTGGTTTTGTAGAGCAGATTTACCCAATGCAAAACATTTAGCTAGAAGAAGTTACTAATCAAGGGGTAATGACTGGGAAATAGCTTAAACTTCTCTGAGTCAAATGCTTTAAAAACAAAATAGAAATATTGTCAGCAAACATGATAAAGTCTGAATATCTGTATTATAAATTCATATAAATAAAATTTAGAATATTCATGATTTGGGTGAAAACAAATCAAAATAGTAATCAATAGCGGGAGATTAACTGTAGTAATTAAAGAAGTAGATATTAAAACAAATTAATGACAGTACAAGGATATGAGCACTGGTCTGCTCACTCGTTGCTCGGGTCATTTTGGAATGGTATGGTTCATTTGGAAAGCATTTTGGCTGCCTGAATCAGATCAGCTCCTACATTTTGACTCCGCCATCCCACTTCTGGGAATCTAGCCAAAGAAATAATCCAAATTGTGGGGAAAGGTACATACTGCAAGTTGTACAACATAACATTATTTTATATTGAAGACTTGGACAGAACTGAAATATCCAAGAACCAGGACTCTCTTCAACTCTGGATAGCCACCTGGGCCACAGTGTTCCTTCACATTTCTCCATCTCTGTGTGCTAGAAGGCAAAAGAGCATCTTGCCTCTTGTCCTTCAAGACTGGTGAATGACTTCAAGGTTCCTGCCTTTGTTGCTTCAATACCTCCTATATTCTTTTAACACTTAGAGGCTCCCTGTAATTATTTGTTTAGCTGCCTGTCTTCTGTATTCTGCTATGACTCCCTGGGGGGTGTGGTTCCCCTTTTAATCTTGGATCACCAGTATTCTGGAGATGTGGAAGATGCTTGATAACTATTTATTAAAGGAATGGATGAATCATTTACCCAAAATCTTTTGCAGTCATTAAGGATGATAGTTTCTAAAGAGTATGCAGCATTCTGATTTTGTTTTAACTGCCTGAGCCCTTCTAATTAAGTCTATTCTTATTATAATTTTTAAAATGGATGTTGGCTGTAGAAAAAAAACAAAGAAAATAATCCTTGGTAATATCCAAATGGGGGTGGGGGTGGGAGGCCTACTCTTAACGTTTTTTATTTATTTCCTCCAGATTGTTTACACATGCGTCTATAAATTAGGCTGGATCACTCTTGCAATACAGTGAATTATTTATAGCTCTTCTAGCCATAGTTAGTTTTTGTTACTCCCACCAAATGACATTTCCCTGATAGTTTTGTGTAAGAAGATAGGGGATGGTACTAATTGGATTATTTATATGTTTCAGCTGTGAGTAGTTAAAACGGGTAGC